GGCACTGAGGTACAATCTGAAGCCGGGACGGACGTGTCCCGTACACGCCCACGTAAAAGCATCCCCGCAGGCCTCCATATCTTCCAGCGCTCTACGACCCAGGTCAGGAAATCTACGCAACGAGGAAAGAAACATGTCCAATCAAGCAAGGATCCAGGACGAGCTGGGCGTCAGGTGCCTCTTCCGTTCAGAACCGCGCAACTTGAAGGCGATGAGAACGACTTTGGCCGTGGCCACAGGAAAATCGCATTCGAGAAGGGCCTCTTGCGTGTCGATCAGCAGTTTGGTCTTCAGCTGCCTAGCGAACAGCCTTTCGTAAACCCACAGCTGGCGAGGTATCTCGCAGATGACAATACCGAACTGCCGCCCCTTCCCTCCGCGAGAGACGTCGGAGAAGGCCAAACTGAAGGTCCAAGCAAACAACAACCTCCGGTTCGCAGACGCTTGAAGCGAAAGGTACAAGCGCAACGAATTGATGTCGATGCGCGAGAATACCGCCAGCCAAGCGAGCCAGCAGTTGACGAGATCCTCAAGAACACCGACGCTCCTCAACCACAAGAGGTCGACACGGAAGACGGCTTGCCCGTACTCCACGGGTTGGGTCCTTATGGCACCCGTTACCCGATCACGTTCGATGTATACTCTCTAGCCACCGACACGTACTTCCATTCTTCCACGTTCATCGGGGCTGACGAGTTTCGCCAAGCTCTACTTGTCAGCAAGCCCGGTAGCCGTGACCTCGATGAATTGGCCGGCCATTGCACCATCAGCCATGGCGCTCTGTCAGTCAGATGTGGCCCATGGAATGATGAAACATTTTCTAGGCTACAAGAGCTTGTGAAAGCGGTATCAGAACCTGTTGAAGTCCATGGACCCGACCCTGATACGTCATCATCAGTCCACGAAAGTCCGCTGAACTCAGCTCGATTGGCACGATCACTTATCAGCTATATTACCCACCATCTCAGCTTTTTGGATCCCATCGATCGAGATGACTGTGTGGCCAAGTTGTTGCGGCTATGCCAAACAATCTTTGACAGCTTGTTGGTTGCTCAAGGTACCCTGAACGGCCAAGATCCTAGTCATACTCATGGTGTGGTCCGTGCTATGGCATACCTTCTTGTCATTGGCCTTCAAATCCACCACATCGCTCAACATCCTACCATTGCTCCAGGAAACCAAGTCGGTGTTATCGGTCTTGCCAAAAGCTTGTCCAAGACTATCGTCGCTCACTTGATGCGACACGGCATTCCCAGTCTTGGTAGTTTTCTCGAACAAAACCAGCGACACTCCGTACGCGAGAAGGGTATACAAGATACCGACGTGATTGTTGAGAGCACGGTCATATGCATGCATGTTTTGGAGGAGATGGACATACCAGCATGGGGTTTCTGGGATCTGGTCAGTCAAGAGCTTAGTTCCAAGCTGGGCAGCGCTACTACTTTACCTGCCTTCGAGGCTACCTGGGCCACGATGTTCACCTTCCTTCCCTACAACGAGATCGATTCGTCCGGCATACCGCTTAGAAGTCGGAGGGAGACTTTCCAAAGCGACAACTGGGCTTGCATTCGAGATCTCTTACGCAGATTATTCGAGTTATACCCGAGTACGTACAGGAAGCACAGCACGTCGCTGAATGGATACGTCCGCGCCAATCTTGCAAGATGCCACCGGTTGATTGCTCATTGGCATTGGAGACGTCCGGAGTTGATGCTCAACGCTGTCTTGGATTTCTTTGGCAAGAATGGACTCAAAAGCCTACGACGTGAAGTAGGCGCTGGGTCGGTACCCTTTCTCAACGACCTTGCCACTGCTCCATCACTCAACGTCGAGCCGAATGAGAACTCCTTTCACATCGCACTGAAGTGTCTCGCTCTAGGTCTTCAGGGTATGAGTACTGCCTATCCCGAGAAGAAGATTCGTAGCTTTGTCTTCCGCTCTCTACCTAATCATGGGCGTGCTTACCCCAAGGACCAGCCCCTGGACGAAGAAAATCTCGCAGCGCTACGCAATCACCATGACCTACTCTCAACGCTATACTGGGCTGCGCCACCCGCTTGTCGGCCAAAGCTTGATCACATTCGTGACCTAGTCAATCACGAGAGCTCTCACCGCGAAGCATGTAGAGTCAGTGTTCGAGCCTGGGCCAACCTTGCTACGTATCAGCTATCAACCGAAGAGCCATATACCTCTGCACGGCCATTTGCATCCTGGCACAAAGACATCATGCACCAAACGCTCATTCAGTACAAGTTGGCAAAGACCGAAGCTGACGACTATCTCAAGTCTGGTGTTCTGGACGGCACTACTGATGTCTCTGCCGTCATGGTTCGTCAAACGATGGAAAAGAACCAGGGTCAGGTCATTGCGACGCTAAGAGACTGCATTGCAGGGATGAGCAGGGCCATTCAACATGCAAAAGATCAATCATCCCTAAGGGAATTTTTGGTGGACTCCGACGTCATGCATCTTTTGGAGCTCCCTCATCTGGAAGATCATCGACTCGTCAACGTTATTCGCGACGTCATGAAGGTCCTTCAGGATTATGCGAAGATTCAGAAAGCCAACATGAAGAAAGACGTAAGTCAACAGACAAGCGAGGAAAGCCAGGACTACGGTGACTTTCCTGATATGGATGATCTGGAAGATATGGATGTCGATGTCCCCGCAAAGACCGTTCAACAATCGGGATTGGATTTCATCCAGACTCCACTTTGGCACTTACTGTCGAACGCATTTGGCGCGGAAAACTCGCCAGATGATAACCTGCTCATGGATTGCATCGATACATGGGTTCGAATTGCAGAAGGACAGGTCCTATCGGGTGAAAGATCATGGTCGTACTATCTCGATTCGTTTAGCCAGGTATCGTGGAAGCAGTTACGCCAGACCGAACAGACGCGCAAATTCGGTCCATACTTCATGGCTGCTCTCGTTGACTGTAACTCAGCCGCGTACGAAGAGCATCGACATGAATTTTTCCAGGCTCTAATGGTAAGCTTGGTCGAGCGAGAGTCGATGCTGAGGTTCCAGCACAGACTGCTGCACGCCATCGCGCAAACGGACGAGCACCACCCGCTCATGCAGAACCTACCTTTCTTCCGCGATCTAGAGACTGGAAAATGGGACATCACTGCCGACACTCTGCGCACGCGACGCCTTGCTCTCATCTCCAGCATTCTCTCCAACATGCGCGACGACATCCACGCCATCACCCGAGCCGAACCATCACGTCTCGGCGAAATGAAACGGCTGTACGCATCAATGCTGAAGGACTTCATGACATCTATGAAGTACAACTACCAGCAGCTCCGCCAAGGCACAACGGTGACCGGCGCATACGTCGAATTCGTGCAAAAGATCGTACAGTTCCTGAAGCAATACACGAACGACATCTGCCCTGTCCTGCCTTTCTTCACAGACTCGGTCGCCTTCCCACTACCAGCCGGTGATCCCACATACGTGGTCGCACGCCTCTGTGGATACGCCCCGAAGTTGTCAGATGCAGGGACTGCGAAACAGCTGTCTTTCTTCATCCAGACCGTCGCACAACAAGCCGCTGCCGACAATCAACAGGCTTATCTGGTCAACCAGCTCAAGACTGCGCTTTGCACCGATGAGGCGCCAACTGGCGATAGGGTCGCACTACGATCGGTATTGCTACAAGGCATTCTTCCCGCATACTTGGAAGAAGCTTTCTCATCAAGCACAGCTTTCGCCATCGCTAGGCCCATACTGCAAGCACTCCCCGCGATCCTAGACACGATGATCTTTGACCTGCGTATCACTCAGCCGGAAAGTCTCGCTTCAACCGTCGGCTGCATCGTATCGATTTCACACGCCTTCATCCGGGGTACAGAACAGCTGAAAGACAACCATCATCTGCTCCAGCTACCTTGCGTCCTCGCCGCGCTCACACACATGCTGCAAGCTCTCAGATTAATCCTTTCTCCGCTGGAGTACATATGCAGCCGCACCATGCCGTCCGCACATCTCAACCCACCGCCACTAGTCACCTACATCTGCGAGCTCAGCATCTTTATCACCGACCTTCTCCGCGGCGCAACACCAGACACCATCCTCTCTTACGCCGGCGACGCACATGCGCCGCCCCCAGAGAGACAACACGCAGATCTCCTAGCCTTCTGCCGACGCGGCCTGGAAGACAGCTTGAAGACGAACTGGAGCGAGAGCGCTGGATCTATATGGTTTGGTCAGGGCCATGCGCGCAGAGAGGTGCTGTTTGATATTGAGGGTGTGGAGGAAGAACGAGGAAGACTACAAAGGGGGATAGAAGCGTTCCAGGCTGCGCTTCATGATGTCTATGGCTATGGCGACGCTGGGTTTCGTTATGAGGAGGGAGAGGACGACGGGTACGACATGGTAGTTTAGTAACGCCTTGGATTTAGCAGCATGAAAACGGCGTACACTGGCATTTCTCAGATTACTTGAGTATAATAAGAATCACACTGAAACAATCACGCTTCCCAGGTATGCGCAGATTGATCAACTAAACACCATGCGAGCTTCTCAAACAAGGAACAATTTGAACACGTCTGCAGCCTACGTTAACGTCGAAAGATGCGAAGAAGGTAGCTAATGTCAACGTTGGCTCTAGAATGTTGAGTGTTTTCCCATAAATGAGGGGTGCGCAACAAGTTAAAGCATAAATCACGCGAAATCATGCAGACAAGTAGAAGTTTATATGTTCTCATTCCGTCTCCAGCAGGTGATAGGCAAACCATACCAGCCTTCGCAGTATGGGATGTGGCTATCAGCCTCATCAACTATACACCATGAGCGAATAATAAGAACAAGAACAAAGCCAAAATCATCCCTCTCCCAAGCTCCAGCCTCTTAAGTCCATCGTCAGGCACATCTACCCATCAAGCCTCGACCTGAGCGGTCATTTCAAGCTGTGAACACAATTAGCTACATCGCGCTTGAAGGTTGAGTGAAACGTACACGTTTTGGACGACAGACCAGCGTCTTTTCGTTCCTCAGCTAGCATGTTCATCCAGATCCGCAAGGGCTCGAGCAGCCCTTCTGCTCTCTTCAGCATCCCTCTCCATTCGCGCGTTTGTAACCGCATAGTAAGAGGTAGTATCGTACTTGTTAGCCCGACGAATAGCATCTATGTGGCTCATTTGGGACGAAAAAGGATCATAGTTATGATAGTCCCCGTCCCTGGGGGGGTCGGGGTCAACTGAAGGGAGGACGGGTGCGGTCTTCTTCTTTTTTGGTTTCTTCTTTTTCTTCTTGGGTGCTACAGTCGGGGTGGCGTCGAGCTGGGGTGCTTCATCAGGAGAGACGGTTCGCGAGGAGTCCGGGTGGGTAGGGGCAGGAGGGGTAAAAGCAGACGGCAACACTCGCTCTTCTCCGACTAGCGTGGAAGCGGAAGAGCGGCGAGAGTGACCTGGAACGTGAGTTTGTTGATTGGAAGTGAGGTTATGGGGATCATTTACTTCCTGGGCGGGCATCTTCTGGGAGGAGCCTTGTGTTTTTGGGGTAATTGAAGGGACATATGGTGGAGTTGATGGGGTCGGTTCAGCAGCTGGGGTTACCCCAGAGTCTCCCGAAGATCCCTGGTTGGCTGGCGCGGCGAGGTAGGCCTCCATCTTTTCCGCCTGGTGAGTTACTGAAGAGACATCCTTGGAATCGTTGATATTACCATTGAGTTTAACATTCTCCGATTCGGCAACAGCCTTGTCTTCGCCATCGGCAGAGCTGGTACCAGCTGGCTGCATCTTTGCCTTGCCTTTGGACTTCTTGTTTCCTGTGGTGCTATCACCGCCAGTCTTTGAGTTGGCCGCTTCTGGTTGAGCAACTGTATCTGTAGCTCCAGGTGAGTTCACAGAGTCTCCTAGAGACCCAGTCTCACGCTGAGCGGAGGGACCGTCGTTGGGCTTTTGCGAGGATATGGCCTTATCAGCTTTCGCCTTAGCGACCCGATCAGCGTCTTCTTTCTGTAGAGGTGAAAAGCCAAAGTCAGTATATGTTTCATGTTCTTTCGTACATGCAAGACTCACCCTCTGCTGCTTCTTTCTAGCCTCCTTTTCTCGTTTGGCCTGAGACTTGTTGCTCTTCGCGAACGGGTGGAGCGACTGCATCTGCTGAGTGCCAGCTTTCTTGGTTGCAGTGACGGGTGAGGTCTCTGCAGCTGTTGACATTTCTTCGTTTCCTTGAGCAGTAGCGGTTGTTGTAGGATCTTGTGTACTCTCCGACGCTGGAAGCTGAGGCGCGGTATCTCCTTTTGTCGGCGCAGCTACAGGTGGATCAGACTGAGTAGTATTGCGCGGGGTGATCAGTGTTGGGGATTTATTCAGGCTGGTCTCTGTAGGTATAGACGGCGACTTTGTGGTTTCTATGTACTGTCAGACGTTTTATATGAGAATTGGGTTGGGGTCGCAGTACCATGGTTCGTAGTCATCGCCTTGTCCTGGAGCTCTGGTTGCGGCTGCGCTTGCACAGACTCAGGCTGGATTTCTGGCGCAGAATGGAAGCTAGTGTCGTTCTTGGCCTCATCGTCCGAGACGTCGTTGTCTGCTAAATGCGCAGGCGATTCTATCGGAGCTGTACTCGAAGGCCCACCACCTGTGTTCTCACTATCCTTAGCGATGGAAGTAGCGTCAGGTCTAGTCTCTAGATTCTTAGCAAGGGCGCCCGCGAAGTTGAGAGGGACGTCAGTGTCACGCTGTTTTTGTGTTGTCTTGACGTCTTGTCCTGCCTCTAGCGTCTCCGAATCCTTGGGTGGCGGTACGGTAGAAGCGTCGGCTACATTTTCCGGCTGGTCTAGCGCTGGTGTAGATTCGGGGGGAGAGGGTTTATGTTCTTCAGCCGAAGGAGTAGGCCCATCGACAGTCGCTGGCTTCGTAGGTCTAGTGATGGTTTTGGTAGACTCTGTGCTGGTCTCTTCCTCTTTCGTGACAGCTGGGCCATCAGAGTTCAGCTTCGCAGCAGCTTTCGTCTTCTCATCGGCTGCACCGGTGTTCTTGACTGTCGATTCGCGCCTACCTTTGCCCTTGTTCTTCTTTGTAGGAGATTTCTGCTGATGTTTGGGCATCTCGAGCTTGACGTCTCCTGTCTCTGGATAGCTAGGAACGTCCAACTGCGGGGATGGCTTCTTCAACAGGCCGCTTCTAGCATCCTGGGGAGAGTACGATGCCTTGGCGCTCTCTGTAGGTGCATTTGACTCTACATCAGTGACAGGCTTGTCGTCTTTCTGAATCGACATGCGTGAAGCATCACGCCCAGTATGTGACTGATCGAAATAGCTTGAACTCGATGGTATATCCCTCTGGTAGAATCGCCTTGGTACCGTCACAACGGGTCGGACTCCACGTACGTGAGGATTAAACTTATTAATGCCCAAGGCTACGCTGGCGTCTGCAGTTGATACGAATCTAGATGTGTCAGCGGATACACAGAGACAACAGCGAGTTGACTTACGTAGCAAAGGCATGAATAGAACTTGCACCGATCTTGTTGCCCCTCAAGGAGACCGCGATAGGATTAATGCCGATCGTCTGCTTGAACATCTGTGCAATTTCAGACTCGCCGGTATCGGGTAACAAATCTCCGATCCAAAGCTCGGTGACAGTCTGGTTCTTGGGTCCAATCCATGTATGACCGCAACCAGAGACGGAGTCGCCAGTGATAGCCGGGTCGTCTTCCGATGGGCGACGTCGATTGTTGTAGTCGGCATATCGAGGTCCGCCAGATGGAACGATGCCGCTGTAATCAGCGTTGGACCTGTTATATGACTCTCGCCCGCCTGGGTTGGATACTTTGCGGCCACGGCCAGACTGAGCGGCGAAGCCGCTGTTACCACCCTTCCGGCCTATGTTGTTATGACCCGGGGCACCGTTGAACTTAGGGTTGTTGCCACCGTAAGGATCGTAGAGCTCTTGGGGGTTGCGCGGTGGATTGGAACGACGGGGCACCGGCGCACGAGGATCCTGATGTTGAAGCATCATGTTGTTAGTCATGTCGCCCATCGAGACGTGCTGGCTGTGTGGCTGCTGCGTGAATATAGGGTTTATTGGCTGAGCTTGCATCATGTTCTGCTGGTAGTTGAGTTGTGCTCGAGACATCAGGCCAGGGTCGGGGTGCTGGAGAGCAAAGCCATGATGGACCACCTGAACATACGGAACTACACCCGACATCATTGGCTGAGCGATATGTTGGCCCGGTGCCATTTGCGGGGGTAGGAAGTGAGGTGACTGCATGGCAGGCATAGCGCCAGAAGGCTGTCGTGGGTATGGACCATATGCAGTGCGGTTGTTGTTCTCGACCCAGCCGTGTTGCTGAACGTAGGATCCGGAGTTCATGTTACGATTGGATTTTGGAATGTTCAAGGATAGCGCATGCATGTTGGGTGACGGTCTCGAGGGCCCCGCCGGAACACCCATATCGCCGCTCCTCAATGGAGCAGAATGGCCCCCACGCTGAACAAGACCCTGCGACGGGATGCGTTGAGGAGCATAGCGCATGTTGGGCTGATCTGGTACTCCGGAAGACTCATTCGCGACATGGTCTGGCTTATCGACGACGGACGAAGGCTCTGCCGATGTGGTCAGTTTGCTGGGTCGAGATCGTGTGATCTTGCGGTTTTTCTTACTGCCTTTCTTGTCTGTAGACATCTCGACAAGGGTGGACGAAGGCTGGGTTGCTTCATTGGTGGACTGTTGACCCCAAGTGCGTGCTTGTGGCGTCAGGCTCTCGCGCAGTGTCTCGTTAGTCGCCTTGTTCATCTCGATCCATGTAGTAATCAGAATATGAGCGACGTGCCAGAGGAATACACGAGGGAACCCGAGAGGCTCGCCGAACACGAAGATCTGGTCGACGATGGCAAGCGGATCGTTGATGTCGTAGACGTTGCCCATCTGAAGCCCGATAAAGTCGACTCGATCTGGATGCGCGAGCGCCCAATCCTTAGCGAATCGGTCCGCCGCGTAGTAGGTGTTTCGGGAGATGAAGGTCAACATCTCTTCGCAGAATTTCCTGCCCTCGATGTGGACATCTTCGGCATCCCATAGGTCTTCCACGGTCCACCCCTGTGAGGGTAGAATGCAGAGACACCTATTTGAGTCAGCGTGGGCTTCGAGTGGGACGCGAAAGGTTACTCACTGATTCTTGTACTTTACCTGCCAATGGGTCGCTGCTTGCACCACAGCCGCAGGACCTTGGACGCTACGTGCGATGACGGGCGCACGAATTGGACCTAGTGAACGGGGAGCGCGGGTACCAAGTTCGGTAGAAAAGAACGCTTGGCCGGCTCCCGGGCTGAACTTGGGGTCTCTAGTTGCATGGTTGACTGGGTCGACGACAGTGTTGTTCATATCGGTGGGGGACGCAGGCTGCTCGCCTGCAGTTGTTGCGGTTTGCGTGTCTGCAGCGGGTGGAGTTCCCGGCGGTTGGGCAGTGTCCGACATAGCTGAACTCACTACTGGCTCGATAAGGGAGGTGCGAGTGAGCAGGCGTGGAACAACTGGAGGTGGTGTTTGCAGCAGGGGAATGCCGTTGGAAACTAGCAACTGCGATGGAGAACGCGAGGTTGAAAATACTTGAGAGATTTGTGGCAAGCGCGAGGGTGCACGATAAACAAGAGTTCGTCGCTGCTTGAGGTGGAAGGAGCAACAAGTCTTGGCGCCGCCAGAAAGAGGAGGTGAGCGTGAGTGACCAACGCTCGAAATCTCCGCGCGCCGCTCTTCCGCTCATGCTATTGGCCCAACTATATAGCTTTGGCGTGACTTGTAGAGATGCTGAGTGACTGGAAAAGAACAGAAACAGAAAGATATAGTCACCGAGGATTTCGACATGGTGAAGCACAAGGACGCGACGAGCAGTAAAAAAAGTACAACACTTACACCTTAGGGAATGTTGGAAGAAGCTTCTCTTGGGAAACTCTTTTGCATATGCATGTGTTTGCATCAGTGTCTTACCAGCGACCTCGGGACGCAGCTACCGGCCGCCTAGCGAAACGTCTCTTCCTGAGCTACTGAGCGGTGAAGCCTTGAGACATACCGAGTTCAGAGGCAATTTCGAAAGCCAATAGTACTTTCCCGTATGTATTATCCGGAATCACAGGCTGAGTGGAGTGGGTATAGTACAGATCGCATCTCTCCACGCTCTACACCTTCTCCGTCTCCTTCGGTACCGACCGTATCAGCTTCATGATCTCGCTCTCATTCTCTCCAGCGACTGTCAGGGTTAGCACGAGTAGCCTCTCTTCTCCTTTGCGGACATACCAGCTTTTCCCTGATTCCAGTCCACGACAAGCGGTCTCTGGAACGCGCCTCCGTCCGCCTTCAACCTCCTCATGGCATCAGTCTCGTTTTCCGCTCCGCTGATAACCTTGCCTGCGGCGCCTGATCCGCCCAAGTAGTCCAATATGTTCTTGAGCTGGTCGGTTGTGGGTGGGGCTTCTGTGACATCAAGCTCGAACTCTGTGCGCTCGGCCTTGTCCTGCGCTTTGTGGGAGCTGGCTTGGTCTTCGGTCGCATGCGCAACGGATTGTGCGTTGGCTTGTTTGAGGAGGGTGAGGACGCGAGTGGAAGCTTGGTTCGAAGGCGCGTGGAAGAGTGTCACGACGTTCTTTGCGCCGTGCTGGATGGTATTAGCAGGTGATGCTGAGAGCCAATTCTAGAATGGCTTACCTCTCCGAAGAATCGCTTGAACATGTTTGCTGTTGGTGTTGGTGTTGTACTGTTGATGCTCTGCAAATGGAGGTGTTGGTGCTCTGACAGCTCAAGTGGAGTGAGGTTCGGGTGTGACGTAAATCGCCGCTTGGACCTGCCGTTCCCACCGCAGTATGATCTTAAGAGATCTACGATGCAGCACTCGAGGATTGGACTAAAGACAGATAATGCAGAGCTTAGAAAGCTCTTAGCTTATAGATCTGGATGAAGGCAAGCCTTCCGAGGGTGCTTCGTTGTTGATGACGGATTTCTTACAAGCTGGGCGGGCTTGTCCGCTTTTGAATGCGACCAAGATGCTATGATGGTGCCAATTCGAAGACGTGAAATAATGTAATCACAGTGGAGATTGAAACGCGATTGAATGGATGGACACAGCATCGGGTCGAGTGAAGCATGGAGGGTCAGCCAACGCGACAAGAAACAACACACGGCACATAATTCAAGACAGAGTTGGGAACACAAGCAGCTAGAATTCGTGATGCAGCTGTGCAAAAAGCAGAATGTACATGTACGCCATGAATATGCCCCCATCATCCCAAAGTGTGGGATCATGCTGCTGCTGAGGAACGTGCCGTGGCGACGTCCGTGATTCCCACTTCCCTCTGATCCAGAGTCATAGCCATCCTGAAGAAACCGAATTCATGACCGTATTCTCTAGCTCATAGTGCTCGTTTCGTTCGCCCTTCCTCTAGTGTTTGGCTTATGAAGTTGGGTTAGGGTTCATCTGGGACGTGTCAGTTCTTGCCAATCATACAAATGCGTGATGTCTACTGACCTTGCGCTTGCCACCGGTCATGGTGACGTTCACGAAACGGCGGGTGTATGTGAGCCTCTTCTTGGCGCGGCCCTTGGGGGTCTTCTTCTTCTCCTGGGGCTCAACCTGTATAGCGTGTCAGCCGGCTGTCCACATCCACATCACATCCACATAGCATCCATAATCAATCCGTCCTTCTCCTCAGGCGTCGCGTGATCGTGGTCGTGATTCGACGTGTCGCTATCGGCTGGAGGCGTGGGTGTATCGATGGATGAAGCTTACCTTGGGGGCTATGCATTGTTAGCAGACATTCGCAATCGTTCCACATGAGCCAAGACTTACTTTGAGACTTGACCTTTCCGGCACGAGCGAGGGATCCGTGAACCTTTCCCATATTGGCGGTTGTTGATGGGTGTGATGAGTCGTTCGAAGTTGTCTGTGTGGTGGCAAAGTCCGATTAGCGGTGTACCTCTGGGGTTTCGGGTGTTGGGTGCGAGTTGAAAGTCTTGGTTTCGCAAGGCTTCGCGTTTGATGCAGGTGCAGTCGTAGGAGCGGGCGGAATACGTACAGGTTGCGGTCGTTGGGTGTTCGATGACTGGGCGGCGACGAGAGGGTCAAAATGACTCCAGGGCTGTGGACGGCGGCTCACCGGATTAGCCGAGATCACGTGCAGCGCTAGTGCATCGAAGTGTGAGCATCGAGCTCAGCGGAACGGCCACTATGCATTCACTATAGACACTTCCCACAAGCAATGAATAGGCAGAGCGCATCTAGATAGCTGTGCCGATGCAGGAATTACCATCTATCAGGCTGCTGCGTCTAGATGTTCGGGACGGAGATCTCGCCTCCACATCTACCAGAGATGATCAGATAAGATAATGCGACCCATCAACAAGTACAACGGACAACAGATTAGACACGCCGACTTTCTCAATGACCCTCAAGCCACTATCAAGCAGCGCGGTCATGCTGTGTTTAGATGCTTATGGATGAGCCATCTCTGTGCCCGACACGGTCATGCCTTCCGCAATAGACTTTACCTTTACCCTAGTCGGAGATCCCCGCCGCGGTTGGGTGTCGCATGATGCGTCCCGTAGCTTCGCTCGGACGCGTCGCTGTTTGCCATCAGCCACCACCTTCACTGACGCTTCACTGTAGCGATCTTGCTCTCGAAACACCCTGTTACATCTCTGCATCACTCGGATACAAGCAGTAGCAAGATGCGTCTCCAAGCTGCCCTCATAAGCCTTATCTCCGTCACCACAGCGTCCAACCTGCCATCACCACAGCACTTCTTCGCGAACCCGTCCTCCAGCGATGGATCCGGCTTCAAGATCCCAACTGTCCACGAGTCCGCCGTCCAAGCTCGCAGGATCATGCGCCTAGAAAACATCGGCACCTTATCTACCGTCTTCCCAGACTCTCACACCACCGAGCAACGACCCTCGGATGTCGGCGGCGCGCCCATAGGCTTGATGGACTACTTCGGCGACTGCGAGTCCGACTCAGGCAACCCGACCATCCTCGCCATCACCATCGCGACCTCCTTCAAGAACGTAGATGCCGGCTCCAACATCACCCTGAGCATGCGATGGCACCCCCAGGACAACAAGTGGCGTAGTCCCGCATCGCTCCCTCGCTTCTCGCTCGTCGGCCGTCTCGAGGACATCGATATGGATGCTGTCAAGAAGCTGGGTGTCACGGCTTGCTATGTCAAGAAGCACCCGGATGCTGCATGGTGGCTGCCAGGCAGTGGCATTCACGAGAGCAAGTGGGTCCGTCTCGTTGTCGAGGAGATATACTGGATTGGAGGCTTCGGAGACCGTGCATACATTGGATGGATTCCCAAGGATGAATGGTACAGCGTTACTCAAGAGGAGATTGACGGCGTTCAGCTGCCTGGAGAGAAACAGAGTGCCTGGAACACCCTTGGAAGCTGGTTCGGGATGGGCCAGCAAGAGGATGGAGTGCTTGAGCTCTAGATTGGTTCATGAGAAACGAGGGTTGATGCCGCTTGACACCTTCACATGTGGATCGTGTAGGGTGATTTAGCTGGACTTCGAAATACACCTGTGGGGTGCAGACCATGACTTCCGGTGCTCTTCTATATGATGTCAATTCAGGAATACCACGACAGGTATTCATGCATTGCCTTTAGCTGACTAGCTATTTGCATGTGCAGCAAGACCATATCAACATACGAACCCGGATTTCCCTTAGATGACTGTTCGAATCATCCGATATTCGAAGCTTTGTATAGCTTTCACGTGAATGAGATTCCCGAAACTAGCAAAGTATCCTTCTTTCAATGCACACACATATGCGCATTGTTCGGCACGTCTGCAGTATCTCTGCGGCGTCGGTAAGAGGTTGATGCGTGATGCCGCCTAGTGATGGAGCCTCGAGATCCCACCAAGCTGAGTCTCCGCAGCGCAACGCTCCTTCCTCCATACAATGCACACGCTATGATGACGAATGAAGTATCCCACCTCTAGTGGGGGTCACTTTCTATTATCTCTAGCTTTGTTCCAGTCCATGTGACTCGTCCTGAAATTATCGTGAGTGTGAGGTCGTGACGGCCAACCGCCTCGCGATGGCGGAACAGCTCCTACAGCTTTCAGCCCCCACGCTTGTTAGCCTAGCCTCGTCACCTCTCGGCCGCTCTTACTATGTTGCGCTACGAATCCCTTGGGCAAATTCTGCATCACTGACAATACTCACGGTCGCTCAAACGACTGGATTCGCACATAACGCAGCAGCATCATCAGCCAAAGGCTGTGCACGGGATCAAACGGCAACATGCGCCTACTCCGTGCGATTGATATGACATTCCACGAATTCGAGGGCTCTTCAATACCACCGTATGCCATTCTATCGCATCGATGGG